ATTTATTACTAATTAATAATAATAATAATTATAATTATAGTTAATATTATTATTAATTATTATTAATAATATTAATAATTATTATAATAAAATTATTATCATTTGAATAATTATTATTAATTACTTTTATATTTACTATTAAGTACAATGATAATAAATTATTATTAATTATTAATTATTATTATTATTTACTAGTAATGATAATAAAAATAATCAGTATTATTATCATTGTAATTATTGTTATTAGTTAAAAATAATGATTATTATTGTTATTACTAAAATTGTAATTTTTATTATTTTTAATTTTTTAATTTTAAATTATTTTCTAATATGAGTGGGTCTGATCTTATCTGATCTAAATGGATCTGACTTGAATGAGCCTGATCTGAACTAATCTGAATGAATATGATTTGATAAGATCTAAATATGCTTATTTAGTCTAATTCTGATAAGAATAAGCAATAAGTAGTATAACTAAGCTGTAGAGAACGTGAGCTTAGTGCATTTCCTTAATAGTAGAGAAACAAAAATAGTGTTGAGTTGCTACAATGCATCCACACATGAGGTTGATAAACATTCTTGGGAAATAGTAGTCAATATTCAAGATTATTTATTAGTTCATCCATTCAAATTGAAGTTGTCTTTTCATTATTTACATGGTCAAATTTTTACCATTTTCTTTGCTCATGTGATAGAGTAATAATTCTACCATGTCACCTTATGTTTTGTTGAAATTATAATATAATTTTTAAATATATAAATTTTATTTTCTTATTACATGCTAAATTTAATAAATTAAACAACAATCTTTATAAATAACAACAAAGAACTTAAATTTATATGAAAAATGTACTTTATATTAAATAAGAATTAGACAAATACATTGGGATAAATGAACAACGAATATAACATGGTGAAAGAAGTATACAATGCATGGTGTTGCATAGACCAACACATAGGGATGGGCGAATACACCACTTTGACCTAATGTGTTCCATAGACCAACACATAGGGATGGGCAAAAAGACTGAACTAGCATGGTACAATATTTGACCGTAATGCATGGTACCGAACCGTTTATAGTGTTTTTAAACGGGATTGATTTTTTCCATCACATATTGAAATCGAACCGATATCAGAAAAGATGGGACCGTGAGATACATATCTAAAACCGATTATCGCGGACCGAATCGGTCAAAGCTATATACGGAGTATCTCAAATAATTATTTGTCTACTTCATCTTACCGTGGAGTATTTCGTATTGTATTATTTTTTTTTTAATATTCTTTCATTGTTATTGTTGTTATTATATTTATTACTACTATTAGCATTATTTTTTTCGAGTTATTAATAGTTTGATATTGTATGAATTCAAAAAAATCTATTTTTTAAATTCGGATTCATTATTTTTTATTCTTTCTGTTTATGATTGTAGCACCCCGATTTGCATAACCCGTTTCATGCGGGTTAGCGGACCAGAGCGGTAGCAATTTGGTAAAGTAACATAACATAATAAAACAAAAGTAAATTGTGTAATAATTTAGAAATATTTAAAAAGTGATTTTCTCAACATCATAAAATAATTTTTGGAGTAATTTAATTTAAAGTTGCAGATGCTAAATAAGATTCAAAATATTTACATTTATGGGTTCAAGTCCCAAAGTATTTCAAAATATTAAAACAGTTCCCGCATACATACTCAACTCCTAATATCGCCCACATCTATGCACTCAAATCTGTACTATCTATTACCAGAAATAATCTAGTTTAACTATCCAAAAATATCTCTTTGATCATTAGTACCGCCGTCATATTTATCACTGTAACACCCTAATGTACGTACATACTCAACCCCTAATATCGCCCACATCTATGCACTCAAATCTGTACTATCTATTACCAGAAATAATCTAGTTTAACTATCCAAAAATATCTCTTTGATCATTAGTACCGCCGTCATATTTATCACTGTAACACCCTAATCCGTCCAGGTCTGCAGCACCTTTTGGACTAAAGTATTAACTTGGTAATCGTAAAAATTTAAAACATTTCAAACACTTTTATTTATCACAATATTTTTTTCATAATATAAAACACTATTGAGTTTTCAATATTGTGGAAGCTTAACAAATTATAATCACATACATAATTTATTTATGTTCTGTAATTCAAAACCATCACATCCGTTCCGACAATCTCGCCTCTGTCTACCTCCAGAATCACGTCACATCATTCTTTCTATTAACCTGCGTGTAGCAAATAAAACACACTACACGCTCAGCGTTTAAGTTGAGTAAGCTTATCTAATTCATCGAACATCCATATAAATTGAATATCAATTCATAACCAAATCATTTGATATCATGCACATATTCAATAATATATATTCAATATTCATCATTCAATACTCAACATTCAACAATATCCTTAGCTTAAACTATTCTTATTGTAAGGTTAATCTCTTTAATGTTTATCATCTCTTAAACGAATTCTAGTTTAAGGTTCTTAAACTATATTCCAGTTTAAGGTACTCCTAACTAACCCTTAAGCTAGGCCTAGTTTAAGATACGAATTTTCAAAATAAGTTTTCAAAATCTGAAACTTACCTTCGCTTAAGGTCAACCAGCGGAATGCTCACTATCGAGTTGGGTGGTATCCCCAAACGAGTGATCCTCAAGTTTGGTTTGTAGAACCCGTACGTACGTTTTAACCCATGCCACCAAATATTCATAATTATACCCGCAATATCAGCGTTACACATGGTTTTAGGCCTATATTCTAGGTGTTACAAAAAATCTTTTGGCTTGAAAAATATCGGCGGTCGATGTCGGTAGACAGTTCTTACTGACGGTTGACTGTGGACATTGCAGTTTCGACTTCTTCCTTCAGGCGGTCCACAGGGTGGACCATTTCACCGAACGGTCGACTGTGCCGAGTCTAATGGTCTGCTGCATTTTTTGGATGCGAGTTCCACAGTCCCTTTTTACTTATTTAAAATATACTTTTCTCAATTTTATCAACATAAGATGATATTAAGGTGATATAACATAAAAATATGCTAGCTTTAATTTGAGATTCGTGTAAAGGTCTTCGTAGCTTGTTTTTTTGGAATTACGACGATAATGATATTAACCATGAGGCTAAATATATGCATTTGAATGATTCTTGAAAATCTACGTTAGACATAAGTCTGGGGTACAAACATGAGAATCGATGGAACGAGGCGAAAGCGGAGGTTGATGTTGCAATTCCCGTCACTCCCGTCACAGCTGGGTCAGTCTCTGTATTTTGAGCGTATGCCCCTCGTTACGTATTGGAATTGCAAATCGTTTAAACTCGCGATTAGATAAGACGTAGAGCTAAAACTTTCATGTTAGGAGTTTCTCGAAATAACATATAGAAGAAGGTAATAATTATCGTCCAAGTCATCTGAAGTTTCTGCCTAGGAAAATTCAGCATCACCTTCAAACTCAACAATTTCAACGGGCAACCCGATAACTTCTCTTCCTTTATCTTTGTGTTGTTTCTTTTTCATATACTAGGCGTAGGTATAAAGAGCGTTAGGAGAGCATTAAAACCCAGTATAGTATTGATAGGAGTGAAGTATAGGCTCTTACCTTGAATTTCTCCATTAATGGAGGAAAGAAAGGTTAAGGGAAAAGAAGGACCATAATTTGCTGGAATTTACTAAGTGTTTAAATGGTGATGAAAGAAGGAAATATCATCCTTTTTATGGAGAACTAAGGGATTGAGGGAAGGAGAACATTGACACACCATTCCAACCATCAAAGAGCAATAGTCCAAGGAAAGGAGGTGTGATGATGGTGGATGTTGGAGGGTGATCAAACATGGTGGTGTGGGTGATGGGAAAAAGATGGTGGTGGGGAAATGATAGAGAATCCTGGGATTTTGAGGGGATGTATGTGGATTTGGGATTAAAATCATTGTTCCATAAGAAATACTTTTGTCTATTTTGAATTTCGGGTTGTTTTCCAAACAGAGTCCGATTTCGAAACCGATCACGTATTTGAGCTCGAAAAACTAAATAGAATCCAACGATGTATTTAAAATATTTTTCCAAATATTTTTATTTTTCAAGCCTTCGGAGCCCACACAATCAAATTTAGGTATTTTATTATTTAATACTTTTAGACCGGTTGTCGTGACTTTACAATGATTCTTTTAAATTTGAAATCGATACTTCTTTTTAACAAAGTTTTGCTTTTTTATACATAATTATGCTTTTATTCCAACATTCATTGTGTAATGCATGTTCATTTTTCGGCACATTTGAGTATGGGTATGATATTGTACCATTCTGTCTCAAAATGGAATCGTACCGAATGATTTTAGGGTTCATACCATACTAATGCCGAACTATTTAAATAAGAGCGGACTGTGATAGATTCTGGTAGTATCACGAACCGCGCACACCCCTACCAACAAGTAGAGTAAGTATATATGTTGGTCTGTGTGATAAATAGAGTCAAAATGATGTCACACTTTAGTGTCCTTAATTTTTTGTAGAGGCCGGTTCCCATGACATTGGGAATTAATTTCATGGGATGACCCGAGGGTTTTTTGGTGCCCCGTACATAAAATGGTAGGTTCCTACCCCTCTAACCCTCTCGGTAAATCCCCCCATCCTGCCCCGACCCGAACACACACCCCACCCTCTTGAATTGCACCCCTATGTTAATTTTGACTTTGGAGTCAAATTTTAATTCTAAAGTCAAAATTAACTTGTGGGTGCAATTGAAGGGGGTTTGTTCGGGTCGGGACGGAATAGGGGGATTTACCGGGAGGGTTAAGGAGGGTAGGAACCGTCAATTTTATGAACAAAGCACCGGAGTACACCCGAATCATTTCATGACATTGTTTCTTATTGTCATGGGAAGCAAGAATGTTTTTGTAATGTAAAATGCAATTACCAAACTGCGCAGACAGTGTGGGCTTAGAATTCCAAAGTTACTTAAAATAATATAGGCGTATGTGTGGTCTATCTTGAAAATAATATATGCTCAGCCAATACTATGAATCTATGATCATTGAGCCCAACATATACTTGGATAGCAATAGGCCCATCACTCTTCTCATCCGTAAATGGAGTCGGGAGTGAATAGAGGGAGTAGTGTTGCAGTTAGAAGTAAACAGAATGGGATTTCTCCTTAGGGTGAGAATCGGGTCGTTCGTCGCCGGAGCAGCGGTGGCGTCGGCAGTCGGGCTCTATATCCTTCATAAGGATTATAAAATGGCCCACCATGCTCTCTCCACGCAGGTATCTCTCTATCTAACTAGCCCTAATTGCTGATAATTTTCCGTTTGATTTTCATCAATTAAACCCTAACTTGATGTTCGATAGTGGCCCGTTCTTGTTTTCCATTGGATACATCGGTTAGAATCGAAAACTCGACATAAGGAGATGATTTTGTGCATAAGATTTTAGCATTTGTGGCAACACAGTGTTTTAGGAATAACCGTTTATTCAAATGCAATGTCATTACTATGTTGGTAAAAGGATTGCAGGAATATACTGTAGTAAGTTTGGAGCCCGATCCGTATAATATTTTCAATTTGTTTCAAGTATAACTTTAGGAGTGTGATTTCCTGCTTCACCTTGCTGTTCTTCTCAGCCATGGATTGGGGGTTTTGTAATTTAGGTGAATATATTTAGAGTTTTGATCTCAGAGTAGTTTTCCTCTGTGCTTGGCTGCTTTCTTTGTTTCGTGTCTATGGAATTTTAAATTTGTTGCGCAACACAAATATGTTGGCGTTTAATTTATTTCATTCGGTGCTTCTTATTAAAAAAGAGAATTCATAAGTTTTTTCTCCATCAATCATTATCAAGTACTATGCTATCAATGCCATGCGCTGAATCCGCTGATATTCTAAGCCAATTAAAGTTGCTTCCAAATAATAGCCACCTTTAGAAATGTCAACATTGGTTTCATCTCTCTATCTAACTAGCCCTAATTACTTTTCGTTTGATTTTCTTCAATTACATCCTAACTTGATGTTCGATAGTGGGCAGTTGTTGTTTCTCATTGGATACATCACCTGGTTAGAATCAAAAATTCAATTTAAGGAGATGCTTTTGTGCTTAGGATTTTAGCAATTGTTACAACATGGTGTTTTTAGGAATAATTGTTTATTCATATGTAATGTCACTACTATGTTAGTAGAAGGATAGCAGAAATATATTGTAGTAAGTTGGGAGACGATCCAAATAATGTTTTCACTTTTCTATATCTTTTGGAGTGCAAATGTCACCTTTCTGGTTCTCTCGGCCATGGATTGGGGGTTTAGTAATTTAGGTGAATATGTATTGTGTTTTGGGCTCAGGTTATTTCCCCCCTGTGCTTGCTTTGTTTCATGTCTAGGGAATTTTAAATTTGTTGCAGTATTCAAATATGTTGGTCTTTGATTTATTTTTTCGGTGCTTATTGAAAAAGATAATTCATCAGTTTTATATCCTTCAGTCATTATTCAAAATGTCAGCATTGGTTTCATAACTAACGTAACCTTTGAAACCGATCTTCAATCAATGTATTGGAAATTTGAAATTCTTAACAAGCCACGGGTGGTTTTTTTCCCAGCTTGATTAAATTTGAAAATTCGTTACTGAACATTTTTTGAGAATAAAAGTGTGTTCAAAATATTCTCTAGTTTGCATTTATGGTGAATCCATTTTGAGGGCTTTGAACTTGGAGCATATTGAGGCCCACATTTTGTATTAAAAAGAGTGGTCTTCATTCATGGTTTGCTCTAAAATGGCGGGAATCTATCCCCTTGTGTCTTGGATCCATCTCCATGAAAAATACAATGGAAAAGTACCTTATATTATGCTTTTCTTAATACCCCTCATTTGTGTGGGAGCTTTGACACTTGGTATGTCCTTGCTCCAATGTATGAGCATCATATCAAAGCAGTGTTGTCAAGTCGTCGCCTAGGCGACGACTAGTCGTCCATGCATTATGGGGAAGGCAATATGTTCGCCTAGCGACTAGGGTAGCCTAATCGTCCAGGCAAGTAAGGCGTCGCCTAGTCGTGTATCAGTGGCGATTAGTCGGAGAAGAAGACCTAAGTTAATTTGACCCAACTCGACCCGACCCAAGCCGAACCAAATTTCGTTATATTTTAAATATTACCCGATCGGCAATCCTATTCAATTGATGACATTCCCAAGTTCCAATCGCGACAGATCCTTCATCGTAAATCACAATCGATCCGACCTTCAAGCCTTCCAGATGCATCGCTTCTAGCCAATCAAGATTTTTTTTCTTATGTACCCTTCGTTATGTGACTTTATGTGCTACATCTAAACATAATTTTGATTTGGTAATGATGTTTTTTCATATAAATATATATAGTTATCTTGGGTGAACGAAGATATATATAATGTGAAAAATTTCAATACTCATTGTGATTTGTCGCCTAGTCTGCGTTCCGTTCGCGTGATCTGATCTGATTTTTTTGAAGATCAAATCTGATGTTTTGAAGATCTGATCTGATTTTTTTGAAGATCAAATTTGATGTTTTGAAGATCTGATCTGGTCTGATTAGATCTGATTGCAGTTATAATTATAAAGTTATTTGTGATCTGGTCTGATCTGATTCTGATTATAATAAGAATTAATAATAAGCAGAAAAAATAAGTTGAACGGAACGCAGCCTTAAGAGCTCCCGCATCAAGCGGATAAGTAGGAGGAGAAGGAGTAGTCCTGGAGTAGAAGTCGCGTGAGATGGAGGAGAATGAGAAGTTCTATCTTGGCAGAGGAGTAGCTCTTCTCCGCAGAGGAGAAGAAATGACAAATGGGAAAGACTAATGGTTTCACGACATGTGGCGCTGCAGTTCCTTTTTTGTTTTTTTGCCATGTGGCGCCGCACTCAACCTTTTTTTTATGTGCATACCAAAATTTACTTCATTTATTCTTCTTCTTCAGAATTTTTCTTTACCATAATTAAATAATTTTGATTATTATTCATTTATTAAAATAAATTTAATTATTTTTTTCTATATTTTTTAACAAAGTACAATTTTGTTGTCGAAGCCATAAAAACAAAGTACAATTTTATTTTTTATTAATTTGTAAATTAAAATAATTATATAAAGTATAATATTTAATAATAAAAAAATCATTTAAGTCACATAATGCATAATATTTTAGTAGTCCTTTTGGTGTAAGAGATGAGGAGTAAATGGAGAAGATGTGTATTGGGTCCACAAAATCTGACGTGGAGGAGAGTAGTGAGACTAATCCTCTTTTTACTCCACCATCCAATGCGGGTGCTCCAAGAACCATGTATCAAAGTGAAGCAGCAGTGTCTAAGGGATTCCCCTAGTTAAGAAAGTTTGTTAGGAAGATGTGGGTTAGCTTATTGTCCGTAAGGTACGCAACTAAACTCAATGAACTATAACAGTAATTCATGGTTCGTACTTCGTAGGATTTTCACTTGTTCACTCTCTATGTTTTTTTTTTAAAAACCTTAACTCTATCAATATTTTCGAAAAACAAAAACAGATCAATATTATTATGATTCAAGATATGCTTCATCACAAGTTTCCCACATGATTATTTCTTTTCATGGACTCACAGATGAATGCCGTCTATCAGTCGCTAAATGGGCGTGTTTTGGCATTGGAAAAAATGAAAGCAGTGGAGGCAACCAAACAGGCGGAATCTGCGAACTAGATTGTACATGGAAACTTGCTAAAGCTTCATGCTGTATTTTTTTTGTTTTGGTTGATGGAATTGTAGTTCTTGAAGTTTTAATCTGGGTTTGTTAATGAATTCAGCTACCTTTTGGAAGTATTTTGGGGATTTTGGATATTAGTTGTCTGTGATTATCAATGCACTTCAGGCTCTCTACTTCTTCTACTCTCACGTCTCTTCTACTCTTATGTCTTACCTACTCTCATGTCTTATACACCAGATTTTCCCTTTTTGTAGAACTAATCCTTTTCCTAAGACCTCCACCCTGTGCGCTATAGGGAAGATGAATTGTAAACATTAGATTCACAATGAGCAACAATAGAATGGTGAGAAATTAACCAGAGAAAATCCCCTATAAGTTACTATAAGTTAAAAATTAGTTATAAGTTGACTTATAAGTTAAAAATTAGTTATAAACAATTTTGATAAGCTTACAAGAATAGAGAATCACTACTTAGAGTCTGTTCTTTAAGTCTTGAACTCTTAATTTTTAGTTTCTTTTAGTTTCTTCCAGTTCTTTCCAGTTTCTTCCAACTATTCACTTTTTTTTCAAACTCTTTCTACTCCCCAACTAATTACTCTAAAAACGATATAGTTTATAAATTATTTTTTTCATCTCACTATTTTTACGATTCACACTCTTTTTTTTCTTCAACTTTTTAATATGAATAAAACAATTTTTTGTATATTAATCTAAATGGTAAAACAAGAAATCATCAATATGTTAAACTATATTTTAAAAATTAAGTCAAAATAGTTTAGAGAAAAAAAAGACTAAACTTGGAGTAAAACATAAAAAATGTAAAAAAAAAGTTCTATGTCTGTATTCCAAAAATAGAACTTCAATGAAAATAAAATGTCAATCATGAAAGAAAAAATAGGTTTGATTACATTATGTGACATGTCTGATATTTAAAACAAAATCTTGTACTATATAAAGTATAATTACAAATATATTATTTATAATAAATATGCATAAATAAATTGAGGTGCAATGTTACCACAAAAACTTTTTAAAATTTAATATTTTTATATTTATGCTAACTTTATACTCCGTATTATAATTATTTTCTTTCAAAAATAGTTTTTTAGCAGCACCTGATACTCGATTATCAAAGTTCAGTAGCACCTGATAGTAGATTATCAGAACTTGATAATCGATTATCGCGGTACTCGGGTTTTGTTTGGGTCTATCTAGTTACGTTCAACCTTTTGAAAATTATAATAAACATTCAAGATTACAATATTTCTATATATGTACTACCTATTCATTCCAACGTATTGATAGGTGATTTCTTTTTCAACGAGTTTCATACCATATATCTTTATAACGAGAAAACTACGATCAAACGGATTCAACGTAGGTTATGCCAAGTAGTTGAGCATATTAAACAACAAATACACATATGTTCGTACATGCAAAACACATATATTTTGGCATGGATTTACGTGTTCATGTAATCGTCTAAATGTAATCTAGGTGTTTCTCAACTTGTTCATTCACATGTCAAATTTATACACGTGTACGTATCATCAAGTGATGTTATTATGATATCCAATGGTATTTCCACAAGCCTAACCATATTCCTCATAGCCTAACCGTTCTACTACTTTTATTTCAAAATTTATATTGTTTACGATTGAGTCAAACATCCATTTAGCCTTGGTGTAATTGCTCAATTTCATAACGTCTTCTAATCCTCGTTCTCTACGGAACTTTAATAGATCAAGAACATAACATGGTATGAATCTATATACAAATAACCATATAAACAACCAACGTATTTGCATTTAAATATATTAAAGATTCCTCTGTTATATCTAAGGTGTACATACCTCGAATACGACACAACGTAAGAAGGAACCGAATGAATCAACAATGTCAACGAACAGTTGTCAAACTATTGATCTTCCGACTTCCAAACGGCTTCTTGAGTTTCGGTTTCTTCTCGTAGATATGCTACAGGGGCTGTGGTTAGTCGGCACGCACCCAACGAATAGCGGATTGGATGAGACAGAACGAGAATGAAGACGGAATTTGCAAACCTCACGTTTTCCGTTGCCACTGGACCAGTTTTGGTAGAATAGCCGTATCGCCTTCGTTACTCGTTCGATTGACAAACCATTTGCGGCTATGGTTCACCGACTCGCAGGGCTATAACTTTGGTCAAGAAATCGTGACCAAACAGTGAGTTTATGTTGGTCGAAATACTTCCCAAAGTGGACTGACGAGATTTTTCTTCTAAAATCAGCACCTCTTTCATCTTCTTCCTCTTCTTCTCCTTCACCGGCCTTCCTCCTTGGTGTTGCTGCGGTGTTTCCAGCGAGATAGATAGGGAGACGAGAGAAAGATGGATGGGTGATGGTGATGTGCCTGGGTGATTATAACAATGGATGGAAAATGGGAATGGGCGAGGCATCATTTTAAATATGAATGATGATGATAACTTCAAGGCAATGGTGGGGGGTGGGGGGGATGGACCGTGTACATAGAGGTATAAGGGGGGGAGGGGTGGAGCTTCTAAGGTTGCTACGTAAATAATTTTTATCGAAAACCATTTGCGTTTTTGTAAATAAATAGTCAAAACTAAATTTATGATATCCTCAAAATATTTTTTCTCTAAACTTATTTTCAAACTTTCAGGTCCACCCCAATCATTAATAAATTTGTTTACTTAATTAACGTTGTGAGACCCGTTATTAAAAATATCTTTGTATAATTAAAGTACATTATCTTCTGAAGTCCATTTAAAGAGATCAAGACCTCAATATTTTTTATTTTAAAATAATGAGTCTTAGGGGATGTATTCAATCTAAATTTTAAAAGATTCTGATAGATTGTTTAAAATCCATGGATTCTATAAACTCAATGGATTATTTTAAGTTTACGTAGAGTTAGATAGATTTTAATGTATTTTATCAACATGATTTTTCCTGCCGAGCCGCTGCCACCATCGCTTCCTCAACTGCTCTCTTGTAGTTGGCCGGCATCGCCGCCACAAATCTCATGGCAGTTTCCCGTCCTGGCAGCAACGCTGCCCCGTGATGATTTCTCCATTTTTTTGCCCTTCTAACAATTTTTTGTTCTTCTTTCTATTCGTTGAAGGTTGAAGAAGAGTAGAAGACACGATTTCTTCGAAGGTTGAAGAAGACACATATTTCGCGTGGAGTTGCAAAATCTCTACCTTTCTTGTCAGATTTTGGACTTAGATTTCAATTTATACCCAAAGCCCAAAATCCATATTTTATAAGAATCTTTTAAAATCAATTGATTTTTGAATACCATTAGATTTAGAAGAATATATTTTAAAATCTGAATTGAATACACCCAGATTTTAAATGATTTTTTAAAATCTGAATTGAATACACCCAGATTTTAAATGATTTTTTAAAATCTGGATTGAATATCTATAGACTTTTGAAATCCATAAAAATACTACAAAGTCCAAATTGAATACACCACCCTTAATAAATAAATAAATAATATTTCTTTATTTAAAATATTGGCAATCTATTAGGCCAATTTGTAGGGCGTTACAATATCTCCATCGTGGTAAGCTGGAGTTCCAAATCCCCCCTCACAGAGGGGCGTGGAGCAGCAGTGGACGACTATGCAATCGTTGTCGGAACCCGAGTGCTGTTCCTTGTCCTTGATCCTTCCATGCTCAGGAAACGCTTGAGTATTGTCACTCATCTCTCAATGAAAACATGAATGATAGAATTTTAATTCAACCAAATATATATATCTCACAATATCTCTAAGAATTAAAAAAATAAAAGACAAGCATATTGAACGTAAGAATAGTATCAAAGACCTTCTCTATTCGAATCCCTTAGAGGCCAGGGTATTTATATAGCTTTTTAAACTTCCTAATCATACTAGATATCTACTTACAAAACTAGATAAACATTTCCCCAAATAATATAATTAATCCTAGCTATACATGGCTCTAGCCCATTGGATATTCCTCACACACTAGGGGGACTGACCCACCGACTAGCTCTTGGGTTACCTCCGGCTCGGAGCATGGTCCACTTAGATTAAGAATTTAAGACGTAGATAACATATTGGACTAATTACATTAAGAATTACATCTACGCTTGATATACCAATCATTGATTATTTAGTTGACCACATTATGATGTATGTAGGGGACATGTACTTGTGTATATGTTCCCTCATTCGATTAAACAATATTTGTTTTTACTATTAGAAAGACTTTTTGTAACGGAAAAAAGTAAAAGAGGGAACTACAATATTTTGTAGAGACGGAGGAAGTACAAGATTAGTAACATGCATAAACATATGATTAAATTACCTAAATGAAGCTTAACCATATCACTTTTCTCCAAGTAGGACCGGTCCTATTTACTCTAAGGTTTGGTAATTAAAATTTTAAAATGCAGTGCCTTTGAAAATGTGAGTTCTTCATTAATAACAAGAAAAATGACAAGCATCTAAAATGACTACAATGGATATTAATTAATAATGTCCTCTTTTAATAGGTCATTCTATTAATATGACTTAATGGTGTTTGTTTGTAGAATTTACTGAACATCTACTAAAAAACTTAAGTCATCATAAAAGAATAACTTATTGCACAATTAAAGTAGAATAAGACATTGTTAAAAAACAATTTGAATAATTATTGTAATAATTAATCTCTATTCAACACTTGTTGCCAATGACCAGATTCGTAAAGTCATTCGTAAAGTCTGTCATTACCCAGCAGTTGTTGTTAATCAAAGCATATATGGCAGATCATATGAAAATATGTGTCATAGAGAGAATAAAACATACTCCCTACGTCCCTAAATAAACTTCCCTTTTTGACTCTTTGAGAATTTAAGGGAGGAATATTTTTTTGTTGACATTCCAAAAATATCCTTGATGTGATGTATAAAAGTAAGATGTGATATGTAGATTATTAGTAAAAAGGTATGATGTGATAGGTAAGATATGAAAAAGTAAGGGGTAAAAGGGGTTTTTTAAGGGAAAAAAGAAGTTTATTTGGGGACAAAGAGAAAACGAAAGGGAAAGTTTATTTAGGGACGGAGGGAGTATTTGATCTTATTCAGGGAAATGTTCTACACTTTAGTCTTATATTGAGCAAATTTTTCTAAACATTTTTGTAATGTTATGATGACATTTCTATTTTTTTGTACTCTATTAAGAGCGTTTTTTTAGGACTTGAATATTTAACTTCTAGTTTCTTCCAGTTTCGACCAACTATTCTGATTTTCTTCAAACTCTTTCTACTCACCAACCAATTACTCTAAAAACGATATATTTTTAATGTGATAATTATTATATATTATTATTATTATTATAACAACTGTTATGTTCATAACAATAATAATAATAATAATAATAATAATAATAATAATAATAATTTATAACAACAAGAATTTAAAATAAATTTTTTAAAAGTTTTTTTAGGTTTTTCAATTTTTTGAAATTTTCCAGTTTTTTACAGTTTCTTCCAGTTCTTTCCAGTTTTTTTCCTGTTTCTTTCAGTTTTTTCCAGTTTCTTCCAGCTCTTTCCAGTTTTTTCCAGTTTTTTCCAGTTTCTTTCAGTTTTTTCAGTTTTTCCAGTCGTTCGAGTTTCTTTCAACATCCAACTCTTTTTTCCATTCCTAAAGAACAGACTCTAAATTGTTTATGTGACAAATGTACCCATTGTTATACTCCGTATAGATCTGACGTCCAAGGTATATATATGCGGTCTTACCTGCACCAGCAAAATGCCTTTTAAAATTAAGGGGCTGTTTGTTTCAGCCTCTTAATGGTTCAGATGTCTGAATGATTCAGCACTTAATGGTTCAGACTGTTTGTTTCAGCCTCTTAATGGTTCAGATGTCTGAATGGTTAAGAGATTTGCCTCTGAATGGTTAAGTATTATACAGAGTCTGAATGGTTAAGAGCTGTTATCTGAATTGATCAGACATTTGCCTCTGAATAGTTAAGCAATATACTAGCTCTTAATGGTTCAGACCTCTTACTGGTTCAGCACTTACCCATTCAGAAGTTGCCAAACAGCCCCTAAACTAGTACTGATGGGTTTTCAATTTTTCTTTGGAGAATGGAAATAAAGAATTGGACTCCGTAATGAACTAAAATGTGTAGGATACTATCTGGATAAAAAAGCATTTGTCTTTATTTTTTTCGGTATTCTTTTACTCCTTTAGTCGCCTATTTTAATTTTATGAAACCGAAGTCGTCTTGATCAGCAGTAAAAGTATAAAAAGATATCCCATTTTAACGCAGGTGATTCCGGGATAAATGTGAAAGTCTTGAAATTTTTTGATACATAAGATGCTTTATGGGGGGAGGGGTCCCACGTCCACGTACAGTAGTATGAACCAATCCAATCCTCCCCAGTCGTAGCTGAGAAAAACTGCATGCCAACGAACTTGTCCACCACAGCCCACAGGCCATCTATATAAAGTCATGAAGCCATAATCAAATCTTTAATTACTTCATTCCAAAAAAAAAAAAACATCTCAATAGTCTTTTTAAGTGTAATCTTGCTTCAAACATGCAAATTTTAAGCAAAGCCTTATCCTTTTTCTTCTTCTTATTCATACATTCTGCCTCAGCCAATTATGATTACCACGACGCCCTGGAAAAAGCAATCTTGTTCTTTGAGGGCCAGAGATCGGGGCCTTTGCCACCCAACCAACGTCTCGACTGGAGGGGGAATTCGGGGACGAAAGATGGCTCGAGTGATGGGGTAATGTTTAATTTAAAGCTGCCTAGTGAAAAAGATTGTGCTGAATCAGCTAGCAAGTATATTATACTCCGATAATCCGTACTGATTAATTTAAAAAAAAATATAACCGTTTGTTTTGTTTAAATGTTAATAAGGTGGACCTGGTGGGAGGGTACTATGATGCTGGTGACAACATAAAGTTTGGCCTGCCAATGGCCTTTACGATCACACTCTTATCATGGAGTGTTCTCGAGTATCGAAATTCAATGGGAGATCAACGACAGTACGCGGAAGAAGCTATCCGTTGGGGCACCGATTATCTGTTGAAAGCAGCGGCACACATAGACATCCAAATTCTCTATGTCCAAGTAAGCCGGCCACTACATTCATACAAGCTAAGAAAACAAAATACACGACCATATTGTTTCATCTGTCAACAAAGTGAATAAAATTTAACGATATGAATGGTGAACAAGAACATAATTCTAGGACGGAGGGGTAGATTATATGGAAATGTTGAACCGGATGCAGGTAGGTAACCCTTACGAAGAGCACCCACGTTGGGAAAGGCCCGAGGACATGGACATCTCAAACCGACGCGTGTACAAGGTTACGGCTCAGGACCGAGGATCCGAAGTTGCAGCCGAGACAGCCGCAGCACTGGCGGCTGCTTCCATTGTGTTCCGTAAATCTGATCCTTCCTATTCCAATAAATTACTTGTCACCGCAAAGAAAGTACGTACAATACAAATTCCCTCCCTCGCATTCAAATCCTCCATATATATATATATACTATTCTCCAAAACAAATTGCATTCTTTTTTATTCTTTTTTGAAAATACATTTTTTTTAAAAAAAGAACAATCATAGCGAGCTATTTGAATGATAAAGGCTATAATTTGGTTGTCTTTTGAATGTAAATTTAATTTAGAAGGACAGAAACACATGTAATCAGAAGCTAGTAAAATGCGGGGGAGACACTGCACATATATATCGATCACAAGCTAATTAATTAATGGCGGCAATCAAATATGCTTTCAGGTATTCGGTTTTGCTGACACAAATCGGGGTTCTTATAACGACAACCATATTTGCTCAGTGGTCTGCGACTTTTACAAATCTTTCTCAGGATTCGGGGTACGTAAGACTGCCTAGCCATGCATTCATTCTAGCGATGCACTCTTATGGTTTAGATCTCAGTCTCCTTAATTCCTCTCCTCTTTCACAAGACTAGAAGTGCGTAGCAGATCAAATGTATTTTTTTAAAAACTTTATTAGGAGTAAATAAATAAAATTAAAGAATAACTCTAAATGGTGTAAAACATAAGTATAAAAACATCAACTCTATATGTTTATGTCCAAAATAAGAGTTTACAATGTCATAATAATATAACACTATAGGTGGATATCTCACAATACTTTTTGATGTTACATATTAACGTGATTGACATTGAATATACTCCCTCCGTTTGGAAAAAGCCTTCCTACTTTGACTATAAGGCAAAATAAGGAAGTGTAAAATTATAGTTAACTTCCAATTTTGCCCCTGATGTGATGGGTAAAAGTAAGATGTGATGTAAAATTATTAGAGAAAAAAGTATGATGTGATAGGTAGGGTATGAAAATGTAAGGGTAAAAGTGGTTTTTTAATAGAAAAGGGAAGTGTTTTGTTGGAAATGAAAAAACTGAAAGAGGAAGTGTTTTTGAGAACGGAGGGAGTACATTTTAACTACAATTTCGGGAATACTAATATGAAACTCATATTTTGATATTCTTTCAATATTAACTCTTAGTCTCTTACTTTAGTCTTTTTTCACATGAAAATATGTCATTCATTCAAAATACGGAGTATATCATAATATTAATGTTCTCCCTAAAACTTTTTCATCTTTCTTTTTTCATTGTCCCAAAATATTTTTCATTTTCTATTAAAATATCAATTTTATTTACACTACCAACAATCATATCATATCTACTCATTAATAATCTACTTATTACATATCTGAGTTCTATTTTTACTCATTACGGGTAATTTGGAAAAATTAATACTCCATCCGTCCCTTAAAAAAGTTCCCGTTTTGACTTTTTGGGAATTTAAGGGAAGTGTATTTTGGTGTTGATTTTCCAAAAATACCCTTTGATGTGATGTATAAATTGGATGTGATGTATACATTAATAGAGAAAAAGTGTGATGTGATAGGTAGGTTAAAAATTAGTAGGGGTAAAAGTGACTTTTCAAAAGAAAAAGAGAAGTGTTTTTTGGGACAGATGAAAAAAGAAAGGAGAACTTTTTTGGAACGGAGGGAATACAAAACTACAATCTCATTAAATCCTATAAAAGTCCAAATAAGAAAAAGATTTAGTACTCCGTATTATTTATTCCTCTAATGTTTCACAAACATTTACTTTTTCACTTTTCATCGATACAATTTTTTACAATGTATCTTTCATTTAAAATAAAAAGAAAATGTTCCTCGATATAATAATCCCTCATTTTCTTAAAACGGTTATTGTTTTGACTTTGGGACAAAATAAGAAAAGTATAATTTTAGTTGACTTTCCAATTTTGCCCCTGATGTGATGGGTAAAAGTAAGATGTCATAGTTTAGTTATTAGTGAAAAAGTATGATGTGATATGTAAGGTATGAAAAAGTAGGAGTAAAAGTGATTTTTTAATAGAAAAATAAAGTGTTTTAAGGAAAACAAAAAAAAAATGAAAGAGGAAGGGTTTTAAGAAACGGGGAGTAGTAAATATTATCACAATACCAAAATAAGAGTGTCATTCTTTTCATCTATAAATAAGAGTTTGGCAATACGATGGTAGACTGTGGTGGTCGACCACCGATATGTTGTGGTCAACTCTGGAGACCGGCGACAGAGCTCTGTAGTAGTGGGGCGTGAGTGTGTGACAAAGGCAATATTAGGGACTACTAGCTTCATCCCTGACAATTTATCCAGTTTTAAATTTTTTTTGCAGTGAATTTGGACTGACCTTTGACCTCTAGTAAAATAAAATGTACATTAAATATTAATTAGAAATTGGCTCGGTCTAAAATTTACATTTTGTGCCCTATTTTATTATATTAGAATACTTATGCTTCAAGATTAATGATGAATTTAAAAATATGAGATCCTAAAATATAATTTTTGGGGCTCTGTGCGGTTGGCCACTTTGCACATCCTCAGGGTCACCCATGACGATGAATATGTTCAAAGTGTGTAAAAAATAAAAGTATGAAATGAACATTGTGTCTTTAGCAAATGAGCATCTGATGAATATACATAAATATTGTAAAATCAAATTTTAGAATACTTATGCTTCAAATTTAATGATGAATTTAAAAATATGAGGCCCTAAAATTTTTGGGGCCCTATGCGGTTGGCCACTTTGCACATCTTTCGAGTCACCCATGACGATGAATATGTTCAAAGTGTGTAAAAAATAAAAGTATGAAATGAACATTGTGTCTTTAGAAAATGAGCATCTGATGAATATACATAAGAAATATTTTAAAATAAAATTTATCATATACCACCTCCAAAATAAGACAAAGATGAATTCTTCTTTGTTCGAATATATTTTTCTTACATACTCTTTTCGTTCAAAAAAATCTCATTTTGAATTTAATTTCTATAGAATTAGGATGGATAATTTTCCTCTTGACTTGCCCAAATATATTGTCCTTGCTTGGATGCATGGGACTGAGAAAAATTAAAGTAGAATGTCATGAGTAGACTTATACTTCGTATTGATCAGTAGTGTGTGTGTGTATATATATATATTAAGGGTGAGATATTTTTGTGTTGATTTTAAAAAAATAACCTCGATGTCATGGGTAAAGTAAGATATGATGAGTAGATTATTAGTAAAAAAGTATGATCTGATAGGTAGGTTAAAAATTAGTAGGGGTAAAAATGGTTTTTCGATAGAAAACGGAGGAAGTTTGTAGGGAATAAAAAAAGAAAGGAGAAGGAATTTTTTTGGACGGATGAAGTATATGGTTTGATACGTAGAGTAAGAATTAATAGAGATAAAAATGACTTTTTAATACTTCCTCTGTTCCACAAAACTCTTCCTCTTTCATTTTTTTTGCTTTCCACAAAACACTTCCACTTTCTATTAAAAAACCACTTTTATCCCTACTTTTTCATACCCTACCTATCACATTATACTTTTTTACTAATAACCAAACTATCTCATCTTACTTTTTTCCATCACATCAGGGGCAAAATTGGAAAGTCAACCAAAATTACACTTTTCTTATTTTTCTTCAAAGTCAAAACCGGAAGGGTTTTGTGGAAGGGAGGGAGTAGAAAGTAGACTTTTTTAAAGGCAAGTACGTCTCTAAGTAGTGGAAATATTTTATGGGATGTAGGAAGTATTTATTTGGGTGATTTGTTTTTCTTTTATATTTTGTGGGATGTACGGAGCATTTTGTGGAGTAATATAGCTAGTACTCCCTGTCTCAATTTATTTTTTTCGTTTGCTTTTTCACGTAGACACAAAACAAGCCGCAGTTATTTTAGTGTATAAATTACAACGTAAGACTATTACTCCTGTTCTCAAAAAGAGTTCCTAGTCGGACTAAGTATAAAAATAAGTAAGTGTTTTGTTAGAAATGAAAAAATGAAAGAGTAATTGTTTTTAAGAATGGATGGAGTATTATTGATTGCCTTCTAAATAAATATCCGTTTACATGGTATGGAACGTCGTAAATAGGGTGTAATTAATTAAAGTTTTAAATAATCCCGCAGGATGAACTTTTGTGGGCAGCATCATGGCTATATTTAGCTTCTAAACAAAAATTGTATTCGAATTATATTCAATCAAATACTCCAACGTCATTGGGTGATTGCGGTGGAGAAAGTTCCTTCAGCTGGGATGACAAGAAACCAGGAACCAGAATTCTCTTGTCCCGAGTAATAATTAATTAATTACTACGTCTTAGTACTATTTTGCACAAGTTAATGAACTAATTTCATCAATTGTATCGATCTATGTGTGCAATTGTGTTCACAGGCCTTCCTGACGGCCGGAGAACAAGAATTTGAGCCATTCAAAATAGACGGAGACAACTATGTTTGCGCTATATATCATGGCAGGCACACACCAGGTATCTTATATATATACTCCGATCCCTCCTCCATTCACCAAAAGACGAAGTCTTTTGACTTTTTGCAGGATTTTTTTGTAATTTGATTTTGTTTAGATATATTAGTTACTCAGTATTTTATTAAAAAAAGTCAAGCATTTTGGTGAGAGCGAAAAAAAGAAAGAAGAAGGATTTTAGTGAATGGAGGGAGTATTATATATAAATAAATTATTAACGCGATATATATGTTTGGATACACCATTGTTTTAGAGTTTGTTCTCCAAAATCACCTGACATGATCCGATTTCAAAAAGAATAAAAATAAGTTATACCCTCTCTGTCTCTTAAGAGCAAAGGCAATGGCGTTTAAATGAGATGACACGCTTGCCAGCTCGGATAAAAATCCTTCTTTGCCTCGCGTGTGCATACCGTTCCTCCACGGTTTTCAAGTGAGGTGCGAGGCACCTTTTTTTGTCTACAGTACACTTCGGCCAATCCATTTCATTGGCTTTTTGTTTGTTTGTTTTAAAGTAGAATTATTTTATTTTTAGAAAGAATTTTTTAGATGTAGTGGAACTATATTTTGATGTTGTTTTTTAATTTGTAAGTTTTATTTTTATTATTTTACCAGTTATAAATAAAATAGTTTTAAAAAACGAGGAGTTTTGCATCATAATTCTAAAATGTAATCTAATTTGAGACGGAAGGATAAATAAAAATATGGAGCATATACGAAAAATAATTTTTATTCATTAAAATACATTTCAATAATGTCATTTTTTCAGTAAATAGAAATATTTTTAAGTTAAAATAATTAAATAGGTTAATATTTTTTATAATTCAAAAATAGCAAGAAAATGAAAAAAGTAATAAAAATAGTGACTTGTCACTGCAGGGCATGCCACTCCACTCAGTTGCCACACGCTGACTGGACTATTTTTCATTGGTTGGAATGTTACATGTCAGCGTGTGGCATTCCATTTCTGCCTTACCATTGCTCATGCTCTAAATGATTTCTTCTCTCTCTTTTCATCCGTCCCGAAAACTCTTTTTTTGTTTTTTATTTAAAACTCCTTTTACCACTATGCATTCTTATTCTTAACTTACTTGTCACATAAAAACTGTGCAGTAGTAATCTAACCATCACATCAAATGCATGCATTTTGGAAAGTCAAAATTGGAATTTGAAAGTGAAACAGAAAAGAATATAAAGTGTAATATATAAGACCATATGTTTTTATTTCCCAATGTAGGAGTTTTGGTCATTATTAATTAGTCATTATTCAAGTAAATGTCCATCATTACTGGACATTATTCCTCCACTAAGACATTATTAAGTCCTCTTTAGGGAATAAAAAAGTTTAAGTCATAGATTAGGAAAGTCATTATGTTTTAGTCCTATTTAGTGCAAATTTCACATATATGTTTTCTTGTTTTGTTAGAAAGGAAAAAAAAAGGAAAAGTGGAAGGAAAAAAAATGAAAATGAAAAATATACTAAGATGAAGGAAAACAAAATTTTTATCATTTTGGTGAGGAAATTGAGAGAAAATCATTTTTTCTTTTCATTTCTAAATTCTTTGAACCAAACATAATGTTGTAGTGAAAATGAAAAATGTTCTTTTTTTAAGAGCAGAAGGAGGACTATATGACCCGATGAACACAGTACACAACTGATAAATTAATAAGAGTAATTAACTATACATTCATTGATCTCCAGGGGGACTCTATTACGAACAAGGCTCAAGCAACCTCCAATACGTTACGACATCAACATTCCTCGTACTAAATTATGCAAAGTACCTCAAAAAAGGGGGCCAATCTGCGTCTTGCGGCACGGCTGGTGTACTCACCGCTGATCAACTCATAGAGTATGCCAGGAAACAGGTGGACTACATCCTCGGGGAAAACCCGGCTAGAATGTCGTACATGGTTGGGTACGGGGTTAACTATCCGAAGCACGTGCACCACAGGGGCTCATCACTCCCCTCAGTGAAGGATCACCCGGGCTTCATCGGTTCTGATTTCGACGCCTTGAACACCCCAAATCCCAACCCTAACCCCCTTGTGGGAGCTGTCGTTGGTGGTCCTGATGACGGTGATAATTTCGCAGATGACCGGAACAACTTTGCCCAGTCGGAGCCCGCGACCTACATCAATGCTCCTTTAGTTGGCCTTCTCGCTTACTTTTCAAATCAACACCGATGATGATGATACATTACGATCCATCTTAATTTACTTCGATCCGTATTTATTACTACTGTCCACGACATACTACGGATCGGAGTATATAATCTAGCTAGCTACCACTACTACTACGTATGTTTCTCCTTTTCTTTAATTTCTCTACCTTTACATACATCATGCATGCATTTTGATCCATGCCCATGACACACTATGTGTAGCTAAAACTGTATCTGTGTCTTCTGGTGTGTGCGCGTCACAGAGGATCGACTTATCGTTCCCTTTCGTGCATCCAAACACCAAACATACTACCAACATACTTTATTTATATGCTTCCATGTGTACTGCTTAATTACTACATATCAATACCACTGGCCGCAGTGGCGGAGCCACATTGGGTCAAATGACTGCAGTTGCACCCACTGAAATTGGATAACTTTATACATATATAGTAGTTTACTTAATATTTGGCTTAGCTGATTTGGTTCAAGATCTGGAAATCAACCACTAGACCCTGAGTTTGAACCCCTCCCCCCTCCTTGTATGATAAATTTTTGATAAACTATTCCTTTATAATTTTTTTATTTATACTTTGACCCCACTCTCCCCAATACCTGGCTCCGCCACTGACTGCCCGATATATTGGAGTAATCACACTTCCCTTTCATTCATTCATCCATTACAATATTACGAGTACATTATAATTCTGTAATGGCAGAGCTCTACGTGTGTTGTTGTTTTAGTGAACGCCGTACCGTAATGGAGGAATTGATCCTAAAGTTTTAATATACTCCCTACATTTTAAACTTCTACTCCCTCCCTTCTATAAAAGTGTTCTTATTTTGACTTTGTGTAAAAATAAAGAAGTGTTAAATTGTAGTTGACTTCCAATTTTGCCCTTGATGTGATGGATTGAGTATTAGATAAAAAGTATGATGTGATAGGTAGAGTATGAAAAAGTAAGGGTAAAAGTGATTTTTTAATAATCTAAATCTACTTACTTTGTCTCTAAATTAATGAGGAATGTGTATGTATCTCAATCTCTTGTATATACTATTCACACAACAAAACTCTTGTATATATCATAGAAACTCTATAATACAATGGCACGATTGTTGGCCAATTGTAAGCTGGTCACAACTCACAAGTTTGATACCTAAATCCCATCTGATACTACACTTAATTGAAAATGCGGTACTCCCTCCGTTTGAAAAAAGTATTCCTCTTTTGACTTTGTGTAGAAAATAAGATGTGATAGGTAGGGTATGAAAAAGTCAGGGTAAAAGTGCTTTTTAATAGAAAGTGGAAGTGTTTTGTTGGAAGTAAAAAAAATGAAAGAGGAAGTGTTTTTGAGAACGGAGGGAGTATAATTTTAAGAAAAGGTTTTTTCCACAAGGAGAGTTGTCTTCTCTTTTATCATAGTTTACGAACCTCTGCACACTTAGAGAGGGGGGTTTGTTCATAGAAATCCTAAAACTAGGAATTGAAAAAAGAACTAAGCATCCAAAAATAGCATCAGCCTACTGTGTTTTTTTGGTAGTCTAATAGTATTGTAGTCTAATACAACAACAACAACAACCCAGTTAAATCCCACAAGAGTAGGGTCTGGGGAGGGTGTGTGTACGCAGACTTTACCCCTACTTGAAAGTAGAGAGGCTGTTTCCAAAGAGACTCCCGGCTCAACGTCGAAAGTTGCATTGCTTGACTAACTGCTACTTCATTGTAGTCTAATACTGTTGTTTTAATTAAGAAGTCTTCGAGTCAGTAGTGTGATATAGTCAGAGACTTCTTCCCAAGAATCGTAGTGTGAAACAGAAACATACAACTGTTTAATGGTGCTTCAAATTACTATGGAGTAATTTCTGTCCTTGCACATGTAAGGCTTCTGTTTGTGGGAGTTATAGATGACTATGTAGCCTTAGTTTTCTGACTTTGACGCAGACTATTGTCTTCTTTTTGCATCATACAATTGTTTTCTAGTATAGAAAGTTGTCAAAATATTTACCACATTACTCCTCCGACAACTACACAAAGAACTAAAAACTGTTGCTATCCACAACAACCACACCAGTTTTGATGCGAAGAGTTTTTGATTTCATGGCAGGTCAATCGAGCAATATATCCAATATGTTTGTTTACGTATAAATTCAGATAACGCTTTATCTATAGCCTATGTGACGCAACTATCTCATGTCATATGTATTAGTTTTAATATATTATGACTCCTGTATTATCATAATATTTGACTAAGGATATTTTAGATATAGTCTCTATATTTATAACAGTCTCACAATCAGAACATCGTAGTTCTCATCTATGTTACTATAGCAGTAATATATGGACTGAAGTGTTAGAATAATGGTCCAACGTTAGACGGGGGGTGTGAATAGCGTTTAAAACAAAATCGCAAGAATTTAAAAAGGAGAAAGGTAAAGTAAAGAGCGTAAGGAGGGAGCACACCGTATTTTATCCTGGTTCACCACAATATGTGGCTAATCCAGCCTCCCGAGAGACTCTATCGAGTTACACTAACTCCGTTAAGTTTAAAGGTGCTTAACAAACTCATACAACTTGAGAACTCGAGTCACACGAGCCTCAACGCTTTTTGCTTGGAGATATCGCACTCCAAGACTTCACACGAAGGAACGAAAACTTCCTCTGAATTACAACAAGGGATTAAGCTCCCTTCAAGTGTATAGAGACACTTAAACACTCAGGAATAAAACTCTCACAAAGAGTAGATATGAGTAAACTAGTAAACGCTCAAGAACACAAAAAGTTCTTCAAGAATTGGCTCTCAAAAAGCTAAGAAATATGAAGAATGATTATGCAATGAAAGTGTATTGAAATGTAGAAAAATTGTGTGTAAAATGAGATGATTTGGGTGCCATTTTATAGGCGAAAGAGTGGTGTAACCGTTTCAAGAGTTCGAAAAGGATCGGGACAAAAATTTCATAGTCACAGACTGATTATCAATTGACTAGACATAATAATCGATTATCAAATGATTCCTTGTCCAAAAATTTCAAATTCTATCCGTTGGAGGGCAATGGTAACACTGATAGTCGATTGTCCAATTCTGTCAGTCGACTATCAAGCCTCTCTGAAAATTTTGGGTTTTGGCAGCCAACCGTGATAATCGATTGTGAAGTTGTGACAATTGATTATTGGATGGTTCTGAACATGGAATTCAAAGCTGCAGCGGTTGATAATCGATTGTCAATAAGTGCGAATCGATTATCACTCAGGTAAAACCCAGCCGGCGAAAACCCAACTAGAAAAACCGAGGTCCAAAAACGAACTATTCCCAAAAGTAAAAACCAAGATTGAAAAATATTGTATCTGGTATAAAATAGTGAAACCAAGACTTGTTTATTAAAAAACCAAGTCCTCAAGGTCGTTTGTCACGT